CCCATTTCAGTATTTAAAGCTAACTGGAAATTATAACAAAATTGAATTTCAGATCAGCTAAAACAGAACAAGCATATAGACACATCATCCTCTTTTCAAAATACATATATCTAGTGATATATAATAGAGTTCACACAGCTTAGAAAAGGTTGACAGTCATTTTTTTTAACTAAATGTATACTAAGGTAAGTTATTTCTGAGTTCATCTAACTTTTATTATACCAAATTCTGAAAGGCTGAATGTAAACATGAAATTTAAGTATTTTTCAAGAACAGTTTTTTTCTTTTTTTTTTTTTCCTGTACGCTTATTATAATCTAAAAGAGTTCAAGTGCAATACATCAGCACAACTAATTTTGGAATGTGCTCCAAGAGAAACTAGGAAGAAGAGTATGAAGATATATAATTTGTATTGACATTCTATCTGAATAATGGAGCTCTGTAGTTCAATCAATACAAATTTAAACATGAGTGAAAGATTTATTTTTTGGGGAAGTCTGTAATGTAACAATACACATGCCAGAACAGCAAAAAAGCAAACTAGATGAAAACAAGAGATATGGAAAGTGAAGAAACTCTGAAGGAGAAAAACACAACACCACTTAAGTCCCTTAAGAAATGAAGAGGCTATAAGCAGAAATAAGGAAAAAACAGGGGGAACTAAGAGAAAGACATTGAAAGAGAAACTAAAAAGAACTGCTCAATTCAAGGAATTTATTTCTATATACTTCTTATTCCGTAACTCATCATATTTCTGTGGTAATTCATTAGATTCCTCTGATGAACAGATTATTTGATTTTGATATGCCATCAAAGACAAAATCACATACATTACTGCATTTTCAGCATTCACATTCCCATTATACTTCTGATGGACACTCAAGTAAAGGTTTTTACAATATTTTGAAAAAGTGAACTGCTGCATACTAACTTTACCCATTATTTCTCTGTACTAGTGAAATGTTTAACTGTATATAGGGAAGTGATATTTTAGATAGCACAAAAATGTAGTTAAGGGCAAGGTCATAATTTTCCTTTGAGTAATTTTTTTTCTCCTGGAAAAAGGATTATTAGCTACTGCTCTAATATAATACACACCTACTCCTGGTTCAAGGCATTTCCAATCACTATGACTATTCTAAGAATTACTTTATACCAACTGGTATTATTGAAAAAGTAGTTTGACATTTGGGGGACTGTTTATCTTCACAAAATCACTTTGAACTCTACTTGTAATAGCATTTATGAAAGCTTTTTTCTTTATTTTATGTGCAAGATCTCATGCACGAAGACATAAATGGTATGGACATTTTGAGGCTAACAGATTCATAAATGAGACCAAAATTGTGTTTCCTTTACCAAAATGCTGTTCACACAGTCAACAACTGAAGTATCAGAGGATCTGTTCTTCAGAGTATTTATCATGCCTTTCAAATGAAGTAAACTGAAAGGGGCCAAGATTATTTGTGACTATAAAAGCATAGGTCATATTCAATAAGGAATAATTTTGTTGCAGCTTTGATGGCATTAGGATAGTAACTTTACAGTTTGTAATGAAATGTATCATTTTTCTTCATACCAGCTGACATCACCAGTCTCAGATCATATATTGAATATTACATTCTTTGAAAAAAAATCTGTAAAAATCAATTTGTAACTTCAGATTCTCACAAACATCAGTAAACATTAAGCAGAAATAATTCATGGGCTTAAGAAAAACTGAGAAACTGCAGTCTCACTTTTCAGCACAAGTGAGTATACGTCACTTTGGGTTTTTGTCCCTTAGCTTCCAAATACTATTGGAAGTATTATACAATATTTCTATTTGCTTTAATTTAAGGTTTTGCTTCAAGCTTTCCTCCGCCAAGTTACTAACACGGTCTTAAATGATTTTCATCCTTTCATTTCTGTAACCCAGTAAGAATACCCTTGAATTACTAGAGATGTCCACAATAAAACAAATCCGATTGACCAAAAGTCAATGAGAACAAGACTAAAGCAGTGTCATAAAATAAGAATTTTACCAGTGATAAAGTTCAGACATACAGAACCACAGCAATATGCCAGTGAAGCATGATGAGTCTACTATCAGCATAGCTCAGTAACGTCTGAACAACACACGTTCCTGATCTCATACTGTAGTATTAACTATTTGCATACTATAGTAACAATTACAGACACACAAGCACTCAATTTAGAGATCATTCTGGAAATTATAACAACAGTTATTCCAGCCTGATGAACCACATTCTTAATGTATTTTAAAATATAGCTCAAAGGCAAGACGTGTAATTCATGAGCATTTGCTAAAAGCTCTTTAAGAGAACATCCATGATATAAAACTAAATTTCAGTTATTCATTGCTTTGCAAAGAGAAACATTTTTTTAATTATATGTGATAGATATTTTGGCCATAAGTAAATAATGGGCTTCATTACTATTGTAACAAAGTTCTAAAATGTTGTGCAAATTAGCTCAAACTTTGTCAAAGCAGAAAGATAAGAATTTGCCTTTTCTGAAATATGGACCATTAAGCTGGCTGCTAACTACTAAATTATTTCAGGTAACGAACTAGCATGAGTAAACTTGGGCTTTTATTTCTAGCTTACTGATTCACAATTTTTTCACGTGATTCATTTGAGGAAATGCTGAGAGTATTTGGAATAAATCAGGAATATCTCAATAATGGTATCTATTGAATTATGAAATAGCTAAATAAGTGACAGACAGTTTGGGAGATATTTCTACTCACAATTGACAAGATACTATCAAAGAATAAAAACAACAAAGAATAAAAATATGAAAGAATCCTAAACGCTAGTTTGGAAAATTTAGATAGTAAAATCAATGTTAATTTTAACTCTCTGCAGACGAGGGTGAAGATGTGATGACAGTTTATATTGCACATATGTTTGTATTTTACACAAATATTAAGCATGTGAAAAAGACATCCCTAACATGGCTTCTAAATCATGTTTCAGTACCTATCAGTAGTCAACAATGAGGGGAATGCATTCCCCTCTCCCATCTTGTGTTGGTTTTCTTCTCGATTAGTGAGCTGAGCGGCCTTACTGATGTCAAAAAACAAGTGCCAGAATGTCACAGGTGAAAAAAGAGCTTAAATCGTGAACGTTTACAGGCAGCAGATAATTGACTATATGTGTGTGAGTGCACATTCAAAATTAAACTTCTGAACCCTCAAGTGATACTGATTAATATGGTGATGTCAAAGATTGATTAATTTCTTCAAAATGCACAGTAAATCCCCCATATTTGATATATATATATACACACACACACTTACATACATATATCCCCTGTATATTAAATATACATGATAACTGTATAAATCATCAAACAACTTAGAAATTATTTGGTATTAACATTCATAGAAAGTCTTACAGGCAAGGAACTAATATTGCAATACCCTTTCATCCTGCATCAAGAATAGGGACAGCTTTAATGAGTTCTTCAGATTGCTATGAGCCCCACATTTGGATAATCCAAGCCTGTATTTCTTACTAAAAGAAAAATGGAAATAACCTCTCACTAAATGGACGTAACAGCTATTAATGTCTGGAATACTGGGAACACACTGAATTTCAACTTACCAGTACTAACGCAATTTTCTCCATCCTTACTGAGCTTCCAGCCTTCATAACATGAGCACTTGACAGTATTTTTATGCTGTTCACATACTTGACTACACTTAAGATGCTTGGTACAGTAATCCATAATCTCACAAGTTTTGTTGTCTATACTAAGACTGAATCCTGCAGGGCAGGAGCATACAATTCTTCCTCCAGGAACCACAGAACATTGATGGCTACATCCACCATTGTTAAGTGAACATTCATCTGAAATAACACAGGGGAAAACAAACAAACACACATGACATTAAGGGCTGCGAGGGCTGTAAATTATATTACAATATTCTTAAAGTCACCAGGTCAACTAAAACACATTAAAGTCCTCTAAGAATCACAAACTGAATTCCATGTTTGTTAAACAGCTTTCTATATTTATTTATTTTTTAAATTATCAAATTTGTAAGTAATCAGCATGGTAGTTTTACGGCAATCTTTCAGGATTTTAGAATGGCAGATGTACAATGTTTATACATCTTTTCAGACTTTCATGCATATTATTTTATTCACTTAATATTTAACTCACTTACATAAATTTATTATTTATTATAGAGTCAGTCCAAAGACCATTATAGGTCAACCACCTTCAACTGTGACTGAAAGCTAATGCACAGAGAAATAAGCGTACTGTCTCCTAGTAAAGACAGATCTTAGAGGGTGAAAACGCTTGCAAACATCTTCAAATGTTTTGTAACAGAATGCTGGAGATTGTAAAATATTTTATGCAAAGCAAGGTCAGTGGGGAGGGGCAAATTGTTGATACAATAAAAAAAAATATAAAATTATCTAAATTTTTCCTACAAACCATGTTTCACTTCTTATCCCTAAACCATCACTATAGCACAATACTACTGCTATAGCATTGAAAGTTCTTTTATAATCTATTAATTTTATGTTTGCATGTATTTTTTAATAATTCAATTAGGTTCTGTTATACTTCTGTCAGATTTATAAAATTATCTTTGTACATTTTTACTGAATCCAATTTTGCTGGGATAACCTATATCATCTGCCATGCCATGAAATCCTTTCAACACCACCACCAGGGAGAGACATGCTGACTCCTACAAGTCACCCCCATGCATTTCTTCATGAAGCCTTTAAATAGCTACTGACAGGATTCTATCAACCTCAGCTTCTGCAAATTACCTTAAATCCTTTCATATATACCAGAGCCTATTAATTTGTTTACCTCTAGGAGTATTTTAAGGGGTTAGGAAATGAAAAACTTACCTAAGGAACTATTTTTTCCCTTATTAGAAGAAAACTAATACTTCAAGCGCAAACCCAGTAAGATTTAAATTACATAAATATCCTCACATAGGCTACTGTGATGACATTTCAGTAAGATTAACATGAGAACTGGTTTTTTGGGCTTTTTTTTTTTTTCAATAGGAAGTACTGTGACAGACAATATCAAGAAAAATCAGGAAAATGTGTCTAAAAGAAGTACCACAAAGATCGCCTTCATCAGATCCATCAGGACAATCTCTTCTCCCATTGCAGAGCTTCTCAGGCTGTAGGCAGATGGAGGTATCATTAGCACAAGGGTATTTTGGTGGTCCACACATATAGCCCTCGCAATTATCCTCATCAGACTGATCCTCACAATCAATATCGCCATCACATAGCCACGCTTTGCTAATGCATCTCCCTTGGAGAAAAGAGACAATAAACACAGGAAATCAGACTGGGAGGAAACTTTAGAAAAAACCTTCAGTAACATTACACAGATATATTTTTTATTCTTATTTTTCTATTAATAGTACCTTGCTCTTAGCTGAACAGAAAGAAACCAACTTGTATGTATACTCTGAATCATCATCCACATCAGTGCTGACCAGTTTAATTTTCCAAACAATATCAATCCTAATTATTTCTGTGCTGAACAGAACTGCATACATGCAGGACATATCCTCATAATCTGTTAAATATACCAAATTACACTTTTTTTTTAATTTCTGCTTTTCTTCATCTCAGATTAAGTCAGATAAATGGCCAGCTTTTAGACAAAATAACTACAGCAGATGAAATTTCTCACATGACTTCAGTTTTACCAAACCAGGGTTCAGATCATTTATTTCACTCCTCAAAAGGAGAAAAAAAAAATTCTACTTTATGCTGACCATCAATGTTTAAAGATGCAACAGAATCTCTTGATTGAGAAAGGGGTTATGAGCTTTAAAAAATATACAGGTATTAAATTAGAATCACCCAAACCAGGGATTTTAATACTTGAAAAATAACCGAGATTGTGAATGCTACCACTTAGAGCTGTGAGTGTGTGTGTGCGCTCCTGTCCCAAACTATTCTTCAACTTTCAAGCATAAATTTGTTACTTGTTAGCTACTGGTTAGTAGGGGCTAGTTGTAAATTTTGATAACACCTGGACTGAACAGAAGAGGCAGGTACTTTTTTCTCCAATTAAAAAATAGAAAACAGGTAGAACCAGAGGTCAGGAAGCTGATCTTGCACTGTGTTTCTGCCTATGAACTATTTAGGTAGAGAAAAATCAGGCTGGAATGGGAAAGAAGATCCTGAAAATGTATGGAACCTGGATGCTCCCGGACTGACTGGTGATGGCCGAGACTGGCAGCTGCCAACTGCTGCAGAGCATGAACTGACACAACTTTCTGACCAACCTTCCCAGTTTAGCAGCTATCTTCCCAACAGGAAAGTGAGGCTGATTATGACTTTGCGGAGGAAGCAAGTGACTGAGTGTGTGAAATAATCAACTAGGGTAACACCCTAATCTCCTTGGTTCTTTAACAGTTAGCAGCTGGCCCTAACTGTCACTCTACTGTCTGCCATAATACAGTAGCAGATTTCAATTTAATTTAAAATAAATATTTGCTGGTTACCTTAAGATTAGCGTAATGCTTTTTGTTTGATATTTTAGTCTTTTAATCAGAGGGGTGATGTCATCCTCAGAGAATGACAATGAGGTAAAATACAGTGAAACAAGAACAATGGAAAAAAATGTTTCTGTATTATCTCACAGGGCAAATGTGAGACTGCTTTCACTTTGGCTGAAAAAAAAGTAAGAAGTGAAACTTCAGGATAATGCATACTACAGTGAGTGTGGTTTCAAACAACAGAACATAATTTTACCAGTGCAAGATCACCTGGAAAACTTAAACAGGGAGTGGTGTCAACTACAGTGAAAAGCTTTCACCATTTTCTATAGTGGCCAAAGTCCCAAATATCCTACCCTGAAAAGACAGAATTGCACAGACACAAGAAAACAAAATTTTATGCATGATATGGCTGCAGTTTGTCCTTACATGCAATCACAACTGTTTCAAAAAAGCGTCCATATTCATTACCATGTTGAAATGATCATTGATTTATTACTATAACACAGCAGTAGAATGAAAGCTAAACACCAACATCAAGCAAACCAACCAGATCCCAGAGTAAATTGACGTCGCACTTCCAGTAGAGATCCTAATCTGTTTTATATCTTTTATACATACACATACTTACAGAGGAAATCAGTTTTCCTGCCTTTCTCTTACCTTAATGAAGATATATTTTATAGAAAAAGATTCATCTTCCACTATGATAGCTGTGACACATTCCTAAGTACAATATACTTTCAAGGAATTAATCTTTGCCAAAATTATGAAGAGATGGACTTAAAGTATTATGACAGTCTTGAAAACATTACTTAATATTCACTTTTGCTTTATTGCCCCTTATTGTAACTCACATTTTCAGTTTCCAGGAACCTTTTTAGTTAAATTTAGTAACCCTTTTCTCCTCATCATAATCTGTGGGGTAGATCTACCAATGTCATCATCACCATCTTTCTCAAAAACACTTCCTTCCCAATCTTCCTCAGTATCAACTTTCTCCATTCTGTTCTACTTGTCACATACTTGTATCTTGACTTACACTCCTCATTCAGACAGTACTATTCCTGTTGCTCTCCTCTTCCAGTATCACTGCCATGATCACACCTTGACTTTATTTATTCTCGATGTATATTACTTATTTTCCATTCTAAAGATATCCTACTTCTTCCCTCATCTTCCCCCCCAATATATTATTAACATGTGATAAAATAGTACAAAATAATAGCCTACAGGGTAGCACTAAAAATGGTAAGATACAAAATTAACTGCTTCTTGAACGAAATATAAAAAACAGTAAGTATGACAAGTATACAATACAGTTCAGATCTACTGCTTACTAAACTGAAATATTCCTAGCTCTTTTTTATTTGTCTTCACAGAAGTACTTGATTACAATCCCTAGAGAAATTAGATAAATTTCTAAGTGACATTGCCCAGGTTCTGCTCTTGGTCCAGTACTACTAACTGCAAAGTAGGAAGATGGAGGAAAAAAAAAAAAAAAAAAAAAGTAGGTTCCTGTAGTACATAACTGAGTTGAAGTACATGCCTGTAATAATTTTGGAGAATGGAATCTGAATTTAAACTAGGAAGTGAGATCTTAGTCTAATCTCATTCTAGTATGATTTAAAAGAATTCTAATCTAATCTAAAACCAGAAAATAACTGGCTAGGAGGAGCCCAACAGTAGTCAATCTCAATCAGGTAGTTATTGCATCTCATATCCTACTGGGCACAAACTCTAGCATATTTTTCTTCACACATCACCACAAATAACGGTCTGATGTTCTTGAAAAAAAAAAATTAGAGACATCATTCTGAAATCTGTTAACTCAAGAGCTCTGCAGCATCTTGGTTGACTTTGGATACCGCAGCTCAAGAACTGCACAGGTTGGACAGTTCCAGTGAGACCAACAAAAACACTAAAGGTTTAAAAATTTAAACTAAAAGTAGAACACATGTGAGGGGAGAAAAAAAAAAAACAAAACTGTTTGTTTATTCATCAAAAAATGTGGTTAAGGGGACAGGTGACAGAAGTCTTTCAGTATTCAAAAGATTTTTGTATCTGTGAAAAGATGAAGACAACTAAACTTACAGCAAAGATTCAGATGAATTATTACAAAAAATGTTCAACTATTAGAGAGAAATTACTAAAAGGTTATCTATATAAGTTATAGAATATCCTCTATTGGATATTATGAGGTGGATACCAGAAAAGGGCTGGATATGTTGGCTTCTTGAGACCACCATTACTCCAAGCAGAAAAGTCATGTTTTTCTGAAGGCTGACACATGCTCTAATTGTAATATGACACACACACCTGTGGCATTGTGATGGATTAACCAGAGCCAACAAAAACTACAGCAAGGAAAGACCCTGAAGTTATTATTTACATTCATGAAACAAAAAAAAAAGAAGTAGACAAAAAAACGGGGAGTAATATTTCACCATTACTGTTCTCACCACCTGTCATTTTCCTCAGAAGGTGTTGGCTGTTTCACCTCCCCCCATGCACGTGTTCCTAGCCAGACCCATCATGTGCTGTATTAGGAATCAGATGTCAACACCTAGCAATCTATAAGGGGAGAACTAGACAATTTCTCTTCATCTGACCACTTCTCATAAATGTGGAAGCCAAACTTTCTTTAGAATAATCCACAGAGAAAATGATGTTTATTCTGAAACCTGAGAGGATCATGACAGGAACTATTTCTCAGAAAAAAACATTTTTAGTCATTTGTCTCACCATATGGAACTAAACTGAAAAGTAGCTAAACAAAAATTTGCTTTCTCTGTTTTCTGCTCCAGTGCATTACCAACATGCCCTCCTCCTGAACAGCAGTTTTGCTGCTTCCAGGACTGATGGAAGGAAAATAGTGAAAGAAAAAAAAAAATTATGGATGAAACTGTCACAACTGATTCCTAAAGGGATGTTTCCACACAATCAACAAGCACGATTGCATTTTCCTCTTAATCAATGCCTTTTTTTCTTCTGTATTTATACATGGCAGCTAGAGAAGTCACGATTCATCCTTCATCCTGCAAACTGACTAAGATGTTGCCTTCTTTGTGCACGATTGTAAACACTGATAAGTGTATAATGAAGCAGCGCAGTTTCAGGTATTTTCCCCATATAAGCACTAGGAAAAAGACAGTGTCAAGTGTACCTCCTGTGCCAGGGTCTCTATCAGTCTTTTAGTAGAACAGTCCGCTTTCTGAACAAGTGAATAATCCCTTTTTACCTATTGAGGATACTTCATTTAACAGCTACTTGTTCTATACATCTTTACGGAAACTGTAAGAACACAAAAGGAAATGCTTGTTGTTGATGAAGTTCAGTACTCCATATTTATTTATCTGGACATTATGATTTCTAGAAAATCCATGTAGCAGGAAATCTCCAAGCATTTCCAGAACACCCCAAAGTAGTCCGCGTATTAAAAAAAGGAACTCTGTTCATACTGTATATTCCAATAAAGTATCTTCCTATATCCATACACATTCCAAATACTTTTGGACAGAGCTGATGTAACTAGACTGCAGCGTTTATCATGTGTAGCTATAACACAGACATTATGATGGGTTCTCCTTTCCTGTAATGACTGTAGTTGCCTAATGGCAACAATATTACTACTTATCCTGAATTAAATTTTGCCTTTAAAAGTTATTTTACCCCCAATATTTCATTAAGCTTTGAAAGAAATTGTAAAAAGATTAATACAATGCTGACATATATTAATTTATTCCTTAACTGCACCGTCTCATAAGATGTACCATTTAAGCATTATTTTGCAAAATATCCTCATATAAAGACTTCACGTTCTTTTCACATTTTTTAATGAAGTATACTGAGCAAAATTTGATTTTAAACATTTGCAGAGAATGCATTTTTCTTCTGCTATTGAAGTGCTGTAGTTCTAATTCTTTGAAGTCTTCTAGCTAATTGCTTTATACTATTTCAATCAACTTATTTCTAGGGCCAAAGACAGAAAATAGAAGAAAAAACCTGGACTTTGAAGTACTATTAAATGCTACATTTAAGTATTTGGTTTGATGTACTATCACACAGAAGAGTTTCAGCTTTAAGTAGTCTCAAATCCCATCCATTTGATATTGTAAATCAGAAAAAAAGTTTAGTGGAAATATATTAATATTATTTTCCTGGTATGAGTACAATAAGTGTAATCTCCTCAGTAGTATTAAACATTAAAAGCAGTATTCAAACAGTAGATATGTGATCAAATCACACAGACACACACACATAATGAGTAAATGAGAGCAAAACATATCTGCAAGCATATACCTGTACTCTTACAGGAGAACTTTGTTTTTTCATCACATAGCCGTATAGTTCCATTACAGCCTTTTTCATCACTACCATCTTCACAGTCCTTTTCTCCATCGCAGCGCCACAACTCAGGAACACAGTTCCCATCAGGACTGCACTGAAACTCCTTCCCATTGCATCTTCCAGAAGACTGAGTTTCTTAGAAAAATAAGAATTACATTTAAGAAGTTGCTTATGTGAGTTTTTTTCCATGCCAAGCCTACAATTACTTATAATCCTGCTTCCTAACCAAAGCGAAAAATCAGTACAACACTCACAACTCACTATTCCTTCCTAACTCATGACTGCAACACAAGGTTCAGACAAGCTCTTTGTTATCCTGCTCACTCCCTTCACTCCCCGCTCCACCACAGGCTCAATGTACATTAATTAATTCCCCCCCCCCCGCCCCCCCCCCCCCCACCTCAGGCCTGGGGGGAGGCCCACGGCGGTGAATGAATTTGGAGATGTAAGGAGGGACAAAGCTGATGAAGTTTTCCTGGTGCTTTGTAAGCCCTGACTCTCACCCTCAAGCTACATTCCTCCGTCTTCATTTATCTTTTTTCCAGCAAGGTCCATCTCCTGCCTCACAGACCACGAAAGGCCACAGCTCTGCTCTAACTGACACAAGCGTTCTGGCCCCGACACCCGCCTGGCTTGTGCTATTCCAGCACTGTTAGATAGTTCTAGCTTTTCTGAATTCCGCTGCAATGAACTTCAGTTCAGTGCAGCTCTGGAATCAGTCTTGAATGTTCCAAAACATAAACTATATGATTTTAATTATTCATCACACACTTAATTCTCTGTTTTCTAGATGATGGCTTTTTCAATTTTATCCTTGCCCTCCTTTTCCCAAACTATTACCACTGTGAGCATTTCCTATATTTCAAAATGTATTAACAATAACATGTACTTTAAAGTAATTATAAACTTCTTCTATGATACACTTCTGTACTATCATATTGACAAATTTTCCATTCCAACCTTTACCCTGGTTAAAATAATTTTCTCTTTTTCCCCTAGAGTGTACATAGGTCCTCTATATTTATAATAAAGTATTCTCTGCTTATATAAGCATTAAAATCTAGGAAGAAAACAAAAACAAACCAAAACTAACCTTCCTTGTTGCAGTTTGTTTTGGTTTCATCACTGAAATCTCCACAGTCATTGTCACCATCACACGCCCAGTGACTTGGGATACATCGACCATTATAACATCTGAACTGATCAGCAGAACATGAGTGAATACAGCCTAGTTCATCACTTCCATCACCACAGTCATCATCTGCAAATTTTAATTTTTTTATTATTAAAAAAATAAAAGAAGTGAGGAGAAAAATATATTTCCAAAAGGCAGAGAAAAATAACCCGCAGTAAATAAAACAGTATGTTTACTACCCATGGGCATATGGTAAAATTCTTTCTAATGCAAGTAATTCCTTAACTCTAATTTAGCAACAGCGCTTGTCTCTGTCATTTCAGATAGTCTAACCCCTTATACTTATTCAGTTATTCAACCACAGACACCAGCAAGCATGAGAAGGCTGTAGATTTTCCTGATTTCTTCAGTCATGTATAACTACATAGGCTTACAAACAGTGATTTTACTTTATTTTCTGCAATTTTTTAACTTTGTTAAATACACACAGAAAGAGCTTCATATAAACCAAAACGAAAACCTGAAGTCATAATTTCTTTTCAATAGCATTACAAATGTTAGAAATGTTGTTTCCATTCACTTGCAACAGTGCAAGGTTGAAAAAAGATGGCAGCTGAAAAATCAGGGTGGAATGTAGTTTCTCATTACTCTAATGTTGTCAGCATTACAACAATTGTAAGGCAATTCTCACAATTTGAATGTGATCGCCAAGGGAGGGAAAGGATAAACATGTTAGGTAAACACTAAAGGGTCTCCCTGCACTGAATTTCAGTAAGCTTACTGTGATAATTTGGTGAACCTGTCCATTTACAACTACGAATTCCTCTCAGCCTCATAAAATTATAGTAATATCAAATGCTATAGTGGCTGAAGAACCAATCCAATGTTATTAGGACTGGCATGGCATCACTGCCACATCACAAAGTCTGAGAAAAGCTTCATTTGAACAGCTGCCTTCCAAATATATATTCTTTCAGATAAATGAAATAGCTATATCTTCCTGCCCTTCCCTCCTGAGGGATGCTATTTACTAAATTGTCCTTGCCCACAAAAACCAAAAAGCCTAGGTAGTTGGGTCACTGGAACTATTTTGTATTCCATAAGTAGAAAATACTTTCATATGCAATAGCTTAGATTTTTTTTTTTTTTTTTAGCAATGAAAGATTACATCACACTTCATTCTACAGAATATACGATTTGTAACTATTATTATATCCACTTCATCATTCCTCACGTGAAGCTCCAACACTGTGGCTCTCTAGGTCAGCTCAGTAATTTAAAAAGACTATATTTATTCTCTGACCACTTACCTGCCAAACTGGCAATATCAGTCTCAGAAGAGAAGAGTGAGTATCAAAGTAATATTTATGTAATATCTACCATATTCATTTCAGATATACAGCACTTGATACTTGCCTGAATCACAGAGCCATTTGCTGCTAATGCATCTTCCATTTTTGCATATAAATTGAGTTAGTGGCTCACACGTTGGGAATTCTGTGAAAGTGTTCAAAAAGAAATAAAAACTATTTAATGTATATCCTATTTAGTAATATTCTTCCACCCTCTCATTCATATACATTACACAATTGAATTGTATAAAACTTTTGCACCTGCCAGATACTTAATCTGGAGGAGAAAAAAAAGTGACACACCAAAAAGAGAGGAAAAAAAGGTTTTTTTAACTGTAAATACTAGTCTAAACCCTATCCTTCCTCAACACAGACCATTGAAATGCATTATTCGGTGTCATATAACATAGTCCTATATTCCCATCAGACCAAGGCTGTCTTTGCCATTAAGCATGCTAATATTTACTACAAAATTTAGCTTCATGACTGATACAAACTGTATTTTCAATGTATTTATCAATGGTCTGGATGCAGGAGTTGAATGCACCATTAGTAGGTTTACTGATAATACCAAACTGGGAGGGGGGGTTGACTCTCAAGGGACAAGAGGCCTTGCAGAAGGATGCAGACAGATTGGAGAATTGGGCTACGATTAATGGGATTAAATTTAATCAATAAAAATGCCGGATTCTGCACCTAGGATGGAGTAACACTGGGCACAAGTATAAAGTGGGGAGAGGAGTGGCTGGAGAGCAGCCTTGCAGAAAGGGAACTGGGGGTGCTGGTTGACAGCAGGCTCAAGGGGAGTCAGTGTGCCCTGGCAGCCAAGAGGGCAAACCACATCCTGGGGGCATCCAACACAGTACAACCAGCCCATCAAAAGAGGTGAATGTGCTGCTGCATTTAGCCTTGGTGAGGCCTCATCTTGAGTACTGAGCGAAATTCTGGGCCCCACAATTTAAGGAGGATGCGAAGGTCCTTGAACGCATCCAGAGGAGGGCAACAAAGCTGGTGAAAGGGCTGGAAGGCACATCCTGTGAGGAGCAGCTGACGACTTTGGGCTTGTCTAGTTTGGAGAAAAGGGGGTGGGGGGGGGGCTCACTGCTCTGAGGAGAGGAAGAGGAGAGGGAGGGGCTGATCTCTTCTCCCTGGGATCCAGCAATAGGACACGTGGGAATGGTTCAAAGATGCACCAGGGGAGGATTATACTGGACATTAGGAAGCATTTCTTTACCGAGAGGGTGGTCAAACACTGGAACAGGCTCCCTAGAGAAGCTGCCAATGACTGAAGCCTGTCAGTGTTAAGAGGTGTTTGGACAACGCCCTTAATAACACGTTTTAACTCGGTCAGACCTGAATTAGTCAGGCAGCCAGACGAGATGACTGTTGTAGGTTCCTTCCAACTGAAACAGTCTATTCTATTCTAAACAAATGACACAGCCAGGTATGTACGTACCACCAACATGCTGAACAGCGCTCGTACCCGTTCACTTTGGAAAACACAAGATCTACTTTACAAAACCTGGCAATTCGTAGGAAATAAACTGAAAGTCTAACTTGATTCAAAAGGAATAAGGAAGAGCCCAAATTCTCTCCACAGACCATCAAGAAAATAAGACACCTCTCAGTAACTGATACCTAACGCAATCCAAAGATGACAACGTGAACAATCTGCTTGAACTGCTACTTAAAGGCAAGTTTGTCCTTCACTGAAGGATTTCAGGTTGGAAGTTCCTACACACTTCATCCTAAATGCAGCAGAAAGAAATGTCCAAGATGGTTCACAGTCTGTCAGCCACACCAAAGATGCCCGAGATTAGAACAAATCTCCAGTTAGATTCCCTATTTGGGTGCTCTAACTACATTGGGTGGTTCTAGTGTTGTTACAAGTGGGCTGACAAAGCTAAGCTTCACAAATATTTTGACAATTAGGCCATGCAATCAGTCTGTACTGAAGGGTTTTTCTAAACTTTTAATACATGCTGAATAAACATAACATTTCCACAGTAAAATAATAGAAATATTTAGTCAATGAACTTCCCACTTGGGTTTGTTGTCTCATGCAGTCTTTGGTGCAGATAATGTTTCAAAGTTAATTCAAAAGCTTGCTCTCCACTCTCCCCCCTTGCCCCAGCTCTCCAGAAGCTCACGGAAAGCTTGGCTTAAAAAGAAGTCACACATCAAGCACCAAACCAAAACAGCTACATCAAATACTAAAATTTGGAGATCACCAAGAACATCATAAGACTGAAGTAATTATTCTTCTTCTTCAACACAAGGAAAGGGTGGGAAGAAATGTTAACACTGATGACAACACTTGTCAATTACTCCTAGAGTTGTTTTTTTTTTTTAATTTGTTAAATAATAATTAAAAAAAAATAATCTGTTTTTCTTGTGGGAACACATTGCGGTGACAACAAAAATCTGTTCCAAGTCAAATATGGTAGATGTGCAAGTAAATCTGGTTGTATCTTAAGAAAAAGCATATGCAATATGATACTAGCATCATCTTTCCAGTCCTGCTCACCCCAGCTTATGCCCATGTAAGTATGCTTAAGTTCTTGAATCAATAGGAGCCAAAATTTATTCATAGTTGAAGAGTGGTACAGTTAAAAAAAAAACTATTTTTTTCTCACTCTCCACTACAAGTGCTTTGTAGGTATTGAGATTTCTGCAGAAGAAACCTGCTATCAGTAATAGAACTTCAATAACTCTACTGAAAAGGTTTACAGCAGTATTAAGTTCCAAAAAAGCCAAAAAAATTGTAATGTTTTATCAACTACATTGCTTCCATAGTTTGATTTTGATTAAGAAACAGCATATTTTTTATAATAGTGAATCAAACTAGAATAAAAGCTATATCTCAGAAAAACAGACGTCTAACTTCTAAGTATCCTAACAAGTACACTTAGATTTTTTTTTTTTTTTTGCACAACCTGTCACTTCACATTTACATGGCTGATGCTACTAAAATAATCAGTCAGCATTCTTTCTTGAAAACTCTTGAAAAGTCATTTCAGAAACATATCCTATTATATCGTGACACATTTACTAATTTATATTAGTAAGTAAAATAATATATATATAAAAAAAAAACTTATAAACAGGGAACACCCTGATACAGTATTTTGCAGACAGCTCGCTGACCCTTTTGCTCTCAGACTCACAGCAGTTACCTGTGATCTACCAAACAGGTGAAGGCGATCATGCTGACTGATAAAAACCTTAATTGCTTGGAAGCAGCTGATTAGAGAGAGTGCACCTCCCTTTGCAATATCTCAGCAAAGCAGTAGTCAGTGGAGCTGTTGATGCTCTCTCATGATCTAACCAAGAAAGACTATTTTTTTTTTTTCTGCAAAATACAACATCAAAACATCCTCCTATTTGGACTTGAAACAGTTCAATTTTATTGACAACTAGAACACATTGAGGGCACCCGTGTGAAGAGGTATGCAGTTGAGCTAAATATCAATTTTTGAGGGTGACAGTATTTGATAATGGGCTGTAAATTAGAAAAGATATTAGAATATTTGGTATTGTAGTTAAAAACTCAACAGAAAATGCATCCTTTGCTTTGAGTTTATTTATTAATCAAATGATATTTGCCATTTCCAAAAGAATATTATCAGTTCATATAAAACCAAAAAGGCCTCTCATACTTTTTCTATCCCTCAGTTCATGTGAAAAGTGATCCTCATATGTTTAACTTCTTATAGATTAATTTTACTTTTTTCCCCTAACAGAAAATTTACTTACCGCAGGATGTCATCTCGTCAGTTCCATCTCCACAGTCGTCCTCCCTGTCACACAGCCATGACGTCGGAATACAGCGTCCATTGCCACAAGAAAATTGGTCAACCTGGCACGTTCTTGCTGTCAAGACAAAACACTCCAAAAATGCAAGGGAAATGGACTAAATCTGTTAGGTCTCTTGGTGCATGCCTGTACGTAGAAGTTGCAAGGCTGGAAGGCATCTCCTGGCCTGCTACTTGTTTTACCTGATCTGACTAAACATCGTTCACCTGCTTTGGTTTCAGAAAAACTGAGGTAGCCTGCAGGACTGTGTTCTACCTCTGTTATGTAGAATTCTGTAGCGGTTTCTTCAACATATGAGAACATGAAGTTTTATACGTAATTATACAAAACTAGGTGATAGAAGAACATTAATGTTTGATAAAATAACAGTGCTAGAAGTAAACAAAAATCAGGGCAAAAAAATGTCTAACTTACAATTGGAATATTAACAAACTGCATTTCATAACATAAACAATGATCTAGTGAGATTAATATTTACACAGAAAAATGGTAATACAGCATGTGTGTGATGTGCCTGGCCTCACTCTTCTTAGAATATTTGCCTTTGCAATTATGCAACTGTAATGATCCATTAAAGGAAATTATGTTTTTCTTTTGAAGAAATAAAGATCACTAACAGAAATCATGCTATGTAACTACATAAATTACCCTGAAAGATGATGAACAGTAAAACTTCAATAAAAGTCTAACATATGAAACTGACATTACTTATAATTTTGTTTATTCAAAATGTGAACCCATAACTTCAATGCCGGTGACAGTGACACAGATTTTGATTCCAAATTTAAGCTTTTAGAGTTCATATGTATGTGATTCCATACTTTTAAAAAAATAACAGATACTTCAGAAACCCTAATAATCAAAAGAATAGTTCTTCATTTGGTATTCTCAAATACCACTTTCCTTTTTCTTCGCAGAAATGGGCCAAAATACAATAAAATATTAGAAGTTTAAAATATTTCAAAAAATTATATTTTAAACATTAATAGTGTTTGCCACTGCAGGAACAAAAAGAAAAACAAGAATACAAAATTCAGCTCACAGCCAACTGACATAGGGATGTAAAATATGGTCTGGAAATCAGACTCTTATCCCACAAACAAACAGTAGAATGTCAAAGGATATGAAGACATACAACAATCCACAATAACACAGCAGAGCTGATATGGCCACTATAAGTCTGCATTTGCCCCAGAGGGCTTCTAACCAAACCACACAAGTAACAAAGTGAACAGGTTATTGCACATATGAAAATTTAAATCGAGGAAAATGAGTTCAGGGAACACTTTAACACACAATGCATGCTGTCTATCACTGCATTTCAGTTTAAGACAGGAATCAGCTTATTGATGACTGATATTTTTGTACGTCAGATATTTCAGGACTGTTTAGTGTACTCTACTGACCAGCAGTAAACATCAGTTCCATACAAGCAAGGACAGACTTGGAACTCCATGATTTATTGTAGTGGAACAAGCAAAGAATCTTCATCTTGGTATTTCCTTAAAAATCCACTATACGGTTAATAACTTAAAAATGAAAACAATTTCAAGCTACCAAGGGGAAACTGAGTAACTAATTATGGTTTTGTCAGCATAAAATAAAATTTACTAGTAACACGGCACACACATCACAGCATGTTAACAATCAAAATTCTAACTGCCAAAAAAGATTTAGCAGGGACAAGCTTGTACCTAAGCAGTGCTTTGACAGTCAACCCTTGTGGATAGATTAAGTGCTGAATTACTTTGGAAAGCACAGTCAAGTACAAAGATTAAGTAAAATATAATTTATATTCCAGGCTTAGAGGCATCAAAATCTGAATTAATTTAAAATGGCAATAATCAGATTACTAGTAGTGGACTGGTTCAATTCAGTTCAGTTCAGAGTAGTCTTGAACTATTTACAGAACTCGAGTAAGAGAACTTGTATGCATAACCAAGTAAAATTTTTACCTGCACAGGTTTTATTTGATTCATCTTCGTTATTACCACAATCGTTAGCTCCATCACAAAGCCACCTCTTGGGAATGCAGCGATTATTTTGGCACTTAAACTGATCATCAGGACAACTATGATTGACTGGGGAGAAAAAAATAAAGTTTTTCTCCTAAGAATGTAATCAGAGAAAAACAGATTAAAATAATGCATTAAATGGTATTCCCTGGTGATGCAGTTAGTATGGTTATCCTGTATATAATCACCATGATATAAAAATTGTTCAGCAAACCAGTCAATTAAAAATATTGCAGTACTTCAATCATAAATTAAACAATACATAGTAAAGATTCTCCTATCACACTAGTGTCAATATGGAGATCCTCTCCTATTAACTACTAGGTGATAAAAGGTAGCAGCACTTTACAATTCTGCTATTTCCTTTTTTAAAAAAAAAAAAGTCCGCAATCAGATTTAATCAAACTGATGAGGTTTGCAAACTGAAGTGCATATAAACAAAACAAAAAAAAAAACCAAAAAAAAAACCCCCACACCAAAGGGAGCACATGCAAGTTGCTAAGTGCATATCCAAAATATTATACCACAGTGAGCAGGGATTTGGGCAGGTTATAAAATGCTTCTAAAATGACGCACATTACTGCCAATGGCCACGTATAGATCTGCTGTTTCCTTACCATGAAATTGTAAGTGTCAAAAAATGAAATATTCAACACAGCGTAAAACTGACAAAAAAATCCGGTATTCAAGAGTGAACAAGGTATCTCACAAACATGTTTTTGCTAGCTACCAAGTATAATGGGAAGGATGAAGAATGAATGCACAGAAATTATATCAATACTACTGGCCTGCTCTTGAGGCTGTAGTAAGTATGTTCTGCTTCTTTTACGCTATGAACAAGATGTATTATTAGCAGATCTTGGTAATCTTGATCCAGGTAAGAGCAGTAAACTACACACAGTTTCACATGCTGGGTTAAAATAAATCTCGAGCTATTTTCCGCCTACTCAGCCATCCACAGTCCCTTTTTTAAAAGTTTAACATATATCTGGAAACAAATGGTATTTCAAATGAAAGGACGTCTTGCAGGTTTATCCTTGACATTTCAGTAGCTTTTATCTTTGACCTTTCTACCTATTTTTCCTACTGAAAACAACACAGAGCGAGTGTGATACCAATAGCACATGAAGACTTCATGAGTGTTTTGTGTGGAGCGTGCCACTAACATTGGAAGGAAATAATAATTAATTAATAAATA